ATCATGCCAGGCTGGAAACGGTGGAACAGAGGAGGAGCAGTAACTGGGTTTGGGTCCAGTCCTGCTGCTGGAGGCCCTGATGAGCAGAAACCAGGCCGGACCGAGAGTCTTGCTCTGCACTACGAGATGTTTGGTCACAGCGAGGTCTGGACCGTCGTCCTGTACATGGGTGACGTGACTCAGAACCAGCAGGCGGCCTCTGCTCTGACCGGTCTGTCAGCAGGAACGTCGGGCAGACTGACCTGCTGCCGGCCCGGCTTGTCTCCCATCCTCTCAGCTGCTACTCGACGTCAGCTGTTCTCAGCCACCGCAGCCAGCGACGTTTTCATCAACACACACCACATTACACGCGTTAGTGTGTTAGCGTGTTTGTGACACCTCCCCGACCTCAGCAACATCTCAGACTTCACGCCTTCGCACTTGTTTCACATAGAGACCCGCTTGTTTTCCCTCCCAGGTTTACCGTCAGGCTGCAGTAACAAGCTGCTAGACGTCCATCAGGGCGACGCTTTAATTAGTAAACCGAGAATTTAATGCTGATGATGAGATGTTGCTTTAATTATTCACTCACTTTCAGGATTGTAAAACCTACCTCTGCTGTCAGTAAATTAGTCTTAAAACAGTTTAGAAAATAGCTGAACGATGAACGTTTTATTAGTGCAAAACTTACAAATAACACATCTTTAGTTTTTATGTCGTTAATTCCTGTAGATGATCGTCTCAACCAGTCTCAAAGATGGATCATCAGGATTAGTACCTTCATCAGAAACCCGCAGATCCAGTCCTGTTCATGTCTGCTGCCCCCTGGTGGAGGAGCTGAAGGAGGAGAGCGCCTGTTTTATTTCTGTGTCTCTGTTATGTTGCAGGATTACATAATGAAGCAGAACACCTTAAATATAACGTAATACTATAAATATTTATGTTTCAGGTCTTAAAGGGTTAACCCCGGCTCTGGCCACTAGAAGGGATAACCATCAGCACCAGCAGTGCGTTGGTTGACACGTTTCACAAATCTAGAATAATTTCTCTGCAGATGTAAGATGTCCTGAAGCCGCTCACGGCCGGCTCACTGATGCGTTGAAACAGAGCAGCAGAAATGAGGAAATCCACCAGAAAGCATCAGTCGTGACACTAAAGGTCGTTCTCAGGCCTGCCAGCTCAGCAGCGACGGCGCCCACAGGAGCAAAAAGAAACCAGCTTCAGTTAAAAGAAACGTGGGAGGGGAACTCTGCAAACCACAAGAGAACGAGCGAAATGTTTGTTTTTCCAGATGTGACTTTGTTGAAGATTGAGCTGCAAATCCAACGTTTCACAGCAGAGAAGCATCTGGAGCGTAAACGTCCTCCTGCAGCTGGTGCTAAACCAAATCCGTCTAGGTTTCAAAATAAAAGTGGGCCTGGCCTCTACTGGTGACCCCCCCCCCCCATAAATAAACCAACCAAACACATTTTACGTGAACTAATATTTTCATCCATAGAAAATATGATTAATAGAAATGAAAATGAAAGCTCTCAACAGGAACCACTGCCGCCGCACCCCGGGTACGCCTGCTTTTCCTTCACACGTCCCTTCAGCGGTCGCGTGTGTTCAGCAGCAGCTCCAGCAGAAATGACGTCCGAACGCCGAACGTTTACCACAACGAAGGCGTGACCAACTGGGATTTATTAGCTGGAGTTTCGTTGAGTCTTTGAAGTCTGACGTGATTCCCATCAGCCGATCTGTGACGGGACTCTGGCTCCAGTCTTTTTCCTACTTCTCCTTGTCCAGGTCACCGCCATGCTGGATGCCAATCCGTCACTTTGACCAGACCCCCCACCTCTTAGAAATTGCACTTGGCACGGCTTCTTCCCCGTTCACCGTTTCAACCCTGCTGCTTTCGCTTAATTAAGCTGCAGGAGAAACCCTGATGGCAAAGTGAGAAAGATGGAGGAGTGAGGAGATCCACAGAGGTGTGAGGGTGTGTGTGTGTGTGTGTGTGTGTGTGTGTGTGGCGGTGGGGGGGGGGTGAAACGAGAAGACCCTGCACAATTTACAAGTCCCATTTACATAATGGGATTAATGGGACCTGTGTGTGTGTTCAGCAGGGCTGGACGAGTAGGGGTGGGGAGGAGGGAGGTTCCTGCAGGGGGACTATAGATCAAGACGGAGCCAGACATGAACACACCTGCCCCACACCTCCACCCCCCATGGGGGGAGGCTGGTTGGCACAACTCTTTTAACACAAATGGTCCTTTTCCACCGGCGCCATGACTCGGCTCACTTCTGTACGGGTCGGGTGGTTTTGTGCTACCACTGAGAAACGGCTCAGTGGGCGTCAGCTCCAGGAGGGAGACATGGATGGAGACCGTTTTCTAGGGGTGGCCACAGGGGCGGCGTTAGGCCCGGCTACTTGGGCTGAAGCCCCGGATGTTGTATGAAAAGCCTCGGATCTAAATCGTGGAAGTAACATGCAGTACCAAAGTCCAACAGAGAGGGCGCAGCTGGCAGTAGTTTGTATACAGCCTGCCTGAGCCTCCACCACTGAAGAAGAAGCCCTTCAGCAGCCGGCTTCTTCTACACTCTCTGCCTGAAACGCATGAGTGAAGATGGACATAAGGACGTTTTTTAGACCAGAAGTACGGCGACAGAACCCCAGCTTTGATGAGACTGGTGCTGACTCAGGTTTGTGAGTCTTATTTGAAAATATTTGTGGTGCTGCTGGTTTGCCTAAAGTTAGCTTACTATCAGGTAAAGTTGTTGGAGAAAGAGCGGGAATATTTACTATCATCTCACACTAAACACTAACAGGAACAATACTCTGCCTTGAATATGCTTCATATGTAGCTTCAGATTAAAATTATGTAGTACAAGACATGTATATATGATGTTGACTAGTGCGTGTCACGTGTGTGTGTGTGTGCGCACGCGCGCACGTGTGTTAAGCCCCGGATCTTCTTCAGTCCTAAATCCGCCCCTGGGTGGCCATAAAACCACCAGTGTACCACCCTCTTCTGGTTTGCACTACATTTTAACTTGAATCAGCCGCTGCTATTGGCTAAGCAGCTATTTTAGACGTTAGCCGGTATTTCTGACGTGGCTGCACTGCACAACAGCTTCTTGGAGTCTTGGCCCCGCCCCCGGCTGTCTCGGGCGCCCATGAGCCAACGCAGAATGATTCGGCTCAGGGCTGCTCGCCGCCTCCTCCCTTTGCTTTCGCCTTTGAGCGGTAACACTCCTGCAGGGACGACTGCTGCGCTGATTTTGGGTCTTTACCGTGGAGAGGTGATGGTGGACAAAGATGCACGAATGTCACTTCATAATCACGTTGCAGTCCTCTGAATAAAATCAGGAGAAGCCCAAATATTCCCTCATCAAATGCAGCTTTTCACGCGGACCTTTACGTGTCTGCTTTGGCTCATAGAAACGCGGTTTGCTGCAGATTTTGTTTCTGGATTCCTGAGAAAAGCCGTAACGCCGACAGTGAGCAGATGGTGACTGCGTATGAATTCCAATGTGATGGAGATCATGTGTACCTATGAAGGTCGGTCTTCCCATGCTGGGATGAGTTCTGGTCCTGATGTTAAAAACAGACTCGCTCTGGGTCACCGATGGAGGGGAAACAATGGGGATCAGGCGGCAATCCCCCGTGCCTCGTTCAGTCTCCGGGCTGCCAGCGCTAATTTAATTACCTCCTCTGTCTGCCGCCGTTACACCGAACACACACTCACACTCGTTTGGAGAAATCTGTTGGGAGAAAGCTCGAGCAAGCGAGGACGGATTCTCTGGAATAAGCCGGCAGCCTGTGCCGAACACAAACGCCTCACCTCTGAGCAGGTGAGAGCTGTGCAGATGCTTACCATCAACAGGAAAAATAAACGCCTAATTACCCCCCAGTCTGTCTGTTCCTACCCCCACCCCCCACCCCACTGCACCGCGGTTGTGGCGCTCGCCTCCAGGCTGGCGATTTCAGCGCGGGGCTCCTCAGAGAGTCTTCCCTTGTTATTATCCTTAAACAAGCAATTACAGCCGAGTGCTCGAGTGGAGGAAAATAGAGGACACACCCTTAGCAAACCTCTGGGTTCCTCCTAGACAGACGAACAGCAAAGTTATCCCGGGCATCTGTTTCTGGAGTCGGCCGCATGCTCCCACCAGCGCTGTGATGAGGGAAAAACACCAAAAGCAGAGAGAAGGGAACAGGGAGATTCCTGTAAATAGCAGTGATGGAAACGGCACGAGTGGGATTCCTAAGTTTAACATCAGATGGTTACGAAACACGTTTATTTCTGCAAAGCATCTCAGTAATTTTCCTGCTGTCTGGCTTTGGGGGAACCATCAATTAGCAGGCAGCGAAGGCCTGGAAGGGCGACTGCAGTTTACATGTTCTGCAGCTGACAGCCCGAGCAGGCTCACCGGATCGGGTCAGAACCGCGGTTCCTCAACACGAACTAGAAAACGCTGATCTTCACAGCCTCCTTTTCTAACGAGCACACCAACTCAGGGCCTGATAGAACAAACTTAATGATGCAACACAGAAGGTTGGAGCTCTCCGTGTTCGTTCAGAATGACTGATCTCTGTGTAGTTATAGAGTAAAGTAATGCACGTTTCACCTGCGTCCATGCTGGCCCTAAACAGTCACAACACAACGTCAAATAAACAACAACACAGCTTAAAATGACAACATTAAAGTCCAGAGACTGAACACAAACAGATGTCACCGTGTCTCTGGTGAAAAGCTGCCGACCTGCCAGTGTAGGACAGGTCAGCAGCTCAAGTTACAGGTTAAAGGTCAGCAGCTCAGGTCAAAGGTCAGCAGCTCGGGTCAAAGGTCAGCAGCTCAGGTTACAGGTTAAAGGTCAGCAGCTCAGGTTAAAGGTCATCAGCTCGGGTCAAAGGTCAGCAGCTCAAGTTACGGGTCAAAGGTCAGCAGCTCAGGTTACAGGTTAAAGGTCAGCAGCTCGGATTAAAGGTCAGCAGCTCAAGTTACAGGTTAAAGGTCAGCAGCTCAGGTTACAGGTTAAAGGTCAGCAGCTCGGGTCAAAGGTCAGCAGCTCAGGTTACAGGTTAAAGGTCAGCAGCTCAGGTTTCAGGTTAAAGGTCAGCAGCTCAGGTCAAAGTTCAGCAGCTCGGGTTAAAGGTCAGCAGCTCGGGTCAAAGGTTAAACTCAAATCAAATCTTGTCATAAAAGATGACGGGATTTCTGCTGTTGTTGTCAAAAGTTGAGATAACATGGTTTAGTGATAAGCTGGACGTGTTGGGATTTATCCCAGCAGCTAACACGCCCAATTGAAGCTCCGTATCGGTAAAGGCTGATCATTAGAGCCGGTTATTGCTCGTTAACATTGATTATATGTGGCGGCCATCAAGAATGTGTCTAAAAGTTGTAAATATCCGCTTATTGATGACGTCATGAGTAGCTTGGTTAATAGGCTGCTCACCAGAGCTTGGGCTAACGTTGCCGCCCGCCTCTCGCTGTAAGAGTGAAGGTTAGGGTTGGGCATCGGTTGGAACCAGAACTAACTCGGTTTTTCCCGGAATTGTTCAAATTTTTTTTATTTCGATTCCTAGTTTTGATTCCCAGGCTAGCGACCCGAAGAAGAATCTGCGGTCGATTTCCGTGGAAAAAAATCGTGATCTGCACATTTATGTTTGTGTTTAGCAGATGCTTTTGGCCAAAGAGACTTGCAGGCAATGACGAAGCAGCAAACAAGTAAACGAGCGCGTCTGCCGAACTTTTTCCATGATGGAAACTTTAATTCCTGCAGCTGAGAGCAGCGGGACGTTCCTGGTTTTTTGCCCGGAGGCTTCTTCCAGACTTTGGTTGAGCTGCAAGTCTTTTTCTGTCTTTCCTGAAAACACGCTTTTGTGTATAGAAGAGTGATGTGATTTTATAGAATTACAATCCATGCTGAAGTTCAGATCATTTATCAAGTCAGACTCAAAACATGTAATGGAAGAATCAGAATCAGGAATCAATAGGAACTGGAATCAAAACAAGGAATTGGAAATGAAAATGGAAATGGAGTCGGAATCGTTCAAACTCCAGTGATGCCCAACCTCAGTGTTGTCCTCCTAGCAGATCCTGGGCCGACCATGCAAGTAGAGACGTAGCAACCATTGAACCTGCAGTGAGAGCTCGGTTAATCCAAGTTAAGGGACGAGAGGAAGAGCCGTTCTCTGCTGTCAATTCCCACCTTTAGGACAAGAGACGGTGTTGAGGACAGGAAGGTTCACATTCTGGACAGAGGAGACCAACATCGTTCTCTAGAGGAGGAGATCTGAGGTTTTTCAGACAGTTTCACAACAATCCACACCTTCAGGAATGTGATAACATCCCACACGTGAACCAGAACATCCCTCAGCAGGAAAAAGCAGGAATGTCGTGTCGGCCTGCATTAATGGAGCCCTCCCCACAGCTTGAGCCTCCATTTTTCTGTTGGATTGAAGAATCACAACAAAGACCAGCTTTCTCTTTACTTTCTTCTTCAGCGACTTTCTTACGTGTCCGAGAAGATTTTAATGAGATGCAGGTGATTCTCATTAGGTATCATGACCACCAGGTGGCGCCAGAGAGGAGCCTTTACACAAACTGGATGTGCATGAAGTCCTATTTTGCTGGTTTCTTGTGGTCAGAACATCCCAACTCCACTGTTTTTCTTGCTTCATTAAGTTATCTGGAACTTTTTACAAATCCAAGTGAAACCTTTCTGACAGTAAATCCATTATGGCACTGGTTTCCCTCTCTTCGGTTTCCCAGTGAGAGCTGCGGTCTGGGACACATTAGTGCCAGTTTCCCCCTCGGCCTGTATTCCCTTCTCTCCTGTTTGTTACATCACGGCATGACCTCACCGCTCTGCTCGGCCCAGGCTAAACACACTCGCTGCCATGTTGCCATAACAATGTGTTCCACTGGCTCTCAGCTCGGCCCGACTGGTCCAGCACCGGGCCGGTCCATCGCTCATAAAGCTCCTCAGCAGAGAGGCTGCAGTCTCAGAGCTGCCAGCCCAGGCCCCCCAGCGCCTCCTCCATCGTCCTAATGACGACAGATTGTTTTTCATGAGCAAAGCTGCAAAGGAGAATGGATCAACCAGATGTGCCGTGTTAAACTGACAAATGGAGCATGGGAAAGCTCTTTATTAAAATAACTGAGCAATTTGAAAACAAATGACTTCAGGGTTTAAGGCTGGGACCTCACTGGGAGTTGGACAGAGGAAATGAAGGTCATCATAGCATTAGGTGGAAAACGGACCCAAGATGCAAGTACGAACACGGAGGAACCACATTAACCAAATACCAGAGGTGTGGACTCCAGTCACATGACTTGGGCTCGAGTCAGACTGGAGTTATTATTTTAATGACTTCTGACTTGACTTGATCAAATCTATAAAGACTTACGAATTAACTCGGACTTGAACGCCAATGACTTGCGACTTGAATCGACTTGCATTTGTTGACTTGATGATGACTTGAGCATATTTGATATTTTGGCACAAAAGTGACCCGACATGGACAAAAATCATGAATCATTCTTGGCTCTGGGTGCGATGTACGGCTGAAGGCAGCAGCTCTTTCTGCTGTTTGGGCGAATAAACGAAGCTTTATTTCTGGACTTTATTTATTATCATGTCAATAAGTAGAAGTTGGACAGATGACTTGATTATGACTTGAAAATTCAAAGTTAATGACTTGGACTCAACTTGGACTTGGTTGTCTTTGACTTGGACTTGACGAGACTTGACTGGAAAGACTTGTGACTTGCTTGTGACTTGCAAAACAGTGACTTGGTCACACCTCTGCTAAATACCCTTCATAATAAAGCAAGACCGACGAGGCAGCTGCAAAACGGACACATTCGGGTCTAACGGGAAAGCGCAGTGAGCTGGAGCAGTGAGGAAGAATCTGCTGGATCTCAGGGAAAACGTGGAGCGACACGAGGAATAAAACTAAAATACAAAGAACAAACCAACTCACAAAGGCTAAATACCATCAGGTCTAACAACAGATACCAAGGACCAAAGAAAACCCTTAAAGCTGAAGTTTGATTACAAGACATTTTCTGATTTTACCCATAATTACCATTAAAGCAAAGGCTTTACCAGCTGGGCTAGTCAGAATGGATAGGTGGCACATCCATCCATGTGTGACCGGAACAAAATCTACTTGACCTGACATGTTTGAATTTCTGGATGCTGCCTGATGTTGTGAACCAATTAGCGACTTGAGAGTAACGGGACAACAACAATAATAAATCATTGTTGTGAAAAAGAACAGCACATCAAACCAGAGAAAACATTTCAATATCCCGGACGAACCCCCATCTAGACCAACATGCCTAATGTTGGGTAAAATAAGAGTCCACGCTTCAAAAGGTTTAATTACAAAAATGAACGATGTCTGTGTTTATATTCAGACATTAGTGGTTAAATAATTATACAATTATAAAGGAATCCAAGAACTACACACTCACACATACACACTCACACACGCATGCACACACTAACACATGCATACACAAACACACACACACACACCCACACACACACACGCACACACACACACTAACACATGCATACACACACACACACACACACACACGCACACACACACACACGCTCACACACGCACGCACACGCATGCACACGCACACACACACACGCTCACACACACGCATGCACACACACACACACGCATGCACACACACACACACACACACACACACTCACACACACACACACTCATACACACACACTCACACACGCATGCACACACACACACACACACATGCATGCACGCACACACACACGCAAACATGCTCACACAAACACGCATGCACACACACACACGTATGAACACACACACGCATGCACACACACACACACACACACGCTCACACACGCACGCACACGCATGCACACGCACACACACACACGCTCACACACACGCATGCACACACACACACACACACACACACACACACACACTCACACACACTCATACACACACACTCATACACACACACTCACACACGCATGCACACACACACGCACACACATGCATGCACGCACACACACACGCACACATGCTCACACAAACACGCATGCACACACACACACGTATGAACACACACACGCATGCACACACACACACACACACATGCACACACACACACACACGCATGCACACACACATGCACACACACACACACACACACACACTCACACGCATGCTCACATACACAAGCACACACACACATACGAACACACGCACGCACGCACACACACGCATGCACACACACACACACACATGTGCACGCACACACACACAAATGCACGCACACATGCACACACACGCACACATGCTCACACAAACACGCATGCACACACACACACACACGTATGAACACACACACGCATGCACACACACTCACTCACACACACACACGCATGCACACACACACACACACACATGCACACACACACACACACGCATGCACACACACACATGCACACACACACACACACACTCACACGCATGCTCACACACACACGCTCACACACACATACGAACACACGCACACACGCACGCACGCACACACACGCATGCACACACACACACAAATGCACGCACACACACGCATGCACACACACACACACAAATGCACGCACACACGTGGGAAACTCATCAGCTGATGGAAAAGTGTTTTTTTTACATTCTGAATCACAAACATATTTAAATTTGAGTTAATTTGTATATTTTTCTTTTATTTTGATTCCTTTACTGTGAACTGGCTAAGTTTAGAAAAACTAATTATTTCTAGCTGCAGAAATCACAATATTTTCTCTTGAAAATGACCTTCATCTGACCTTTTGATGAAAACATGAATAAGCTAGAAGACTTCTGACAGACAAGAAAGACTTTTGTAAATATTTTTGGGATAAAACTCGTTTTCAGAGCTGGAGAAAAGTTCTGAAGAACTTGTTTACAACCTTCTTCTGTTTATAGACAGAATTTAACTGCATCACCCAAACAAAGAAGAGCGTCTTGTTTTTTTGTCATGATTCATGTGTTCACCTCACATCTGTTCTGCAGAGTCCCACTTCCTCCCAAAGCTCCCAGAGATGGGATTCTGTCAGTGTTAAATACAGAGGGTGGGTGCGCACACACACACACACACACACACACACACACACACACACACACACACTGCAGAGATGGTGATGAGGCAAATTGAGGGTTACTAATTATAGCCTGGGGAAAGGTTTTCCTTTTTGCTCGTCATCATCGGCTCTCGTTGGAAAAAGCAGAGAAAGAAAAGCGGGGGGGGGGGGGGGGGGGGGGGGGGGGGCATCCAGCCTGAACAAGTCTGCCAAACGTGCACGCTGCCTGCATCTGGACCCCTTCAACAGCCTCCCATCTTCAGAGTTCGTCCTCCTTCCATCTGCACTTTTTCTTTCTGATCCCAGTTCTGGTCCTGGTTCTGGTCCTGGTCCTGTTCCCGTTTTGGTTCATGAAGTTGATGATCCTGATGTTCCACTCTGATAAGCCAGGATCTGGTTTTAATGGTTTTATTATTTGTTTACTGGAGTTTGAACTGGTTTCCCACTAAACTCCTGTTTAGAACGTTGACCTGACAAAGATGGAGCCACTTATGTTGGACGGGTCGAGTCAGGGCGAGTCCAACGTCTCCAGTTAGACCCCAGTGAGAAGCTGGTTTTAGTTTGTCTGATGGCCGCAGCACAGATGTGTTTATTGGAGGACTCTGCTCTGAGCGACTGTAAATAAAAATGATTTTAATGAGCTGAGTTTCGTCGCAGTTTAGAACGTTTTTGTCTTTCGATGATAAAATCAGAGAAGTGTGAGTAAAGCAGACGTATTGGGGCAGAAGACGAATGTGGGAGAATAGGAACCAGATGAAAAGAGCTGAAGGAAAACATAAAGCTGTACAGATGACGAGTGACATCATCCTCCGGACCAGTTCAGCTCGTGTGAGTTCACTAAAACCTGGTTCTGTTTTCTCTCGTTTAGCGTTTAAGAACCTTTCAGATCTGAATGAATCAGCTGGTGGTCTCTGCAGGAACGTGGAGTAAGAACTGGTCTGAGACCTGCTGGACTCGTGTCTGCCTGTTCTCAGGACCTCTGGGTGACGGCGGTCTGAGAGGAGGTCTGAGGTGTCTGATGGATCCAGCCTGACGCTGCTGGTTTAGAGGATCCTCTAAAAGCAGGATGCAGCTCCATCCTCTTCCTGCTTCCCGTGTGAATGGAAACCCAAGTCCGAGCTCTGTGCTGGGGATCCCCCCACTCACACAACCACATCCCCAAACCCCTCTAGACCCTGGCACCACACATCCAGCCCCCCCGCCCCACTTTCCCCTTAGCCCCTAATTGCTTTTATGCTTTTATTCTCACAGTGTGAGAAGTTTGACAATGTACATAAACGAAATTCCAGAACAGCAGCAGGAAATGGAAAAAGCACATGTGGAAGCAGTTTGCCACCCCTCCAGAGGAGACTGGGAATCTTCAGCTTTATGCATTTATTCCGTGCAGAGGAGGATGTCACAGTGAAAAGCCCCAGGCTTTCACAGGAACCAAACCTCAGCAGTTTGGACCTCGCTGTGCCTCATGGAGCTATTTTTAGTGGAACAGCCGGTTGTTTGTTGCCTATATTTGCAGGTGATGTTTATTCCCACTGAGATGGATGTTAAACTAGATCACAGGAGGAGAAAGAGGCCACAAACCCGAAGAACTCATTTAAAACGAAGCTTTAGTCTGCTGATTAATCAGATCTTCTTGGGGCGGGGCTACCAGAGGGCTGTGTGTTGGGTCGGAGCTGATGAATCTGGTCGTGTTCAGCTAGCTTTTCAGTAGCTCCTGCTTCCCAGAATGCAACACAAACCTGCTACTGGAGGGCGAGTGGCTCAAACTCACAGTGAGTGGTCGTTGTCAGATCTGCTATTGGACTAAATCTCCTGTTTGAGCAGAGAAAGGATGGAAGTGTTGTCTCGACAGTTTTCACACGTAGAAACGTCTGGTGGCACTCGGCCGGATGGGAAATGAAGAAGGCGGACAGTGGCAGAAGGATTTAGCTCTGCGTGTCGGTCTAGCCAGCCTCCATTGAGCCTCGGCAGGTCTAAGCTTGTGCTGGGCCAATCACAGCGCTCCATTGGGTTGGTGGGCGGGAGGTTGTGAACAAACAAAGATGGCAACTGCTCATTTGAAACGGCTTTGGCATCAACTCTGGACTATTTAGACTTGGGCTTTTGTTTGAGACACGAGCAGGCGGAGGTACTTAAGACACGTCGTTTGTTGTGGAAACGGTGTGAAAGACAATCGTAGATCCCGCCCCACGACTGAGCGTCATCTTTGGGCCGTGGCCAGACCATATAACAACATTTCTGCAAGTCTGCTGAGAACATTTGACTGAAATTGTGACTTTAAGCCACTTTCCTTGGGTGAAAAACAAAAACAGCCGCGTTAAAGTCAGAGAAGAGAAAATACAAGTATGGCTGCCTGACTGGGAACCTTCACCCCAGCAACGGTGGCTGCTCGACTTCAGGGTGTTTCGCTGAAGCTGCCTATCAAACCCTCCTCCGCCGTTCACCATGCCATCAGCGTTTACACAGGACAATGTCTACAGGTTCAAATTATAAGTTATTGGTTCCAAATGGGAGGTGCCCACCACCGCCATTTTGATTGTGTCACACATCCTGTCACACCCAGACAACCCAAAAATGGGAAAAGAGGTGGAGCTGAGTACGGAGCTATTATGGTTGGAACAAATGAGCCTAAAGGGAGCCTAAGGCTTCTCCCTCTCCGGCCAGCCCCTGGGTCCCTGAACAGGGCTGAAATGATTTTCTAACCCGCTCTGCCTCACGTCCGGGATCACACCCGTGTTGTACTGCAATTTACATGAAAACTAATGATGGGTGTCACGTACTTTGAGATTTATTAGCTTGTAAAAGTTCGTAATTAGCATGACTACACATCAGACATCAGCACGTCGCATATGTGATGTCACCACATAAGCTCCTCCCCCTAGCGTAGCTGCTGCTTACCACATGACCAGATTTATGGTGGTTCGTTCCTCCTGTGGGAAGTTTGCTGAACTTACAGCCCTTTCCCCTCAGTTTCCTCCGCGTCTGGTTCGATGACGTCACTTTTGTGAAGCGCATTTGTAGTCCTGGACTTATTTTCACACAAAACCATAAATAACGTTTCTCCCCGTTAGAAAATAAGCGCTTTCTTGGTATCACAAAGCTTATGTAAAATTCACGGACATCGTATGTGAAATCCATGGCACATAACAAGCGGAATTAGAAAATTGCGCGTTTAGCTCCATTGACTTGCGTTCATTTTTTTGTTCTTCCGAGGACCCGTGATGCGGGAGTAGATGGACGTGACTTAGGCTTTCTCTGTAGCTACTAGCTAATATAGCTAACCCAGAAGCTAACAAGGGGCTTTGGGCAC